ATGCCACCGGCCCATAATCCACACCAAACAGTGATTTTTTCGGGATGCATTGGTAGCTCTTGCAATGCTTCTGGCTGGTCTTCACTCCAGATGCGGCAATTTGCTTGTTAACGTACCCATTCAACCAGAAATAAGCTTCGTCGACATTTCACGGTCATCACTAACACTGGCGGATACAGCCGCAATATTTTCTTCAGTCCTCACTCTTCGTCTGCGTGTTGGTGGTTTAATGTCCAATAATGTAAACTGGGTTCGAAATTTAGTCACAAGCTTCCGAATAGCTCCCTCAGTAGGCCGACCAAATTGCTCATAAATTGGAAGCAGTGCTCGATGCACTCTCTTAACCGAGCATGAATTTTGATAGTAAAATTCAATAATTTGCAAGCGTTGTTCGTTCGTAAGTCGATTCATGGTTTAAATTATAGACCAAACTGAACAAGTTTGATGATGACACAAGACACGATTCACGCGTCATCTGTCAAAAACAGTGTTGCCAAAAAGATACTAGCACCCATTATACAAGAATCTAAGATGAAATGCTTGCTATAGCAGCGATATGCTTTAAATTTTGCTTTCGCCTGGGCAGACTGCTACTGAAGCATTTGCCTTGATCACAGAGGCTTATAAAAAAGATTCTTTATCAAGAGGCCTCGAGTGACACGGTTATCTAAGTCTAATAATCGAAAATTATGGTTTTTTATTTCGTTTACTAGGCTTATATGAGAATCAAATTCAATATTTCTGAAATCTGAAATATCATTGATGGCCAATAATTTTAATAGTAATCATAGGATTATTAATCTGATCACGTATGTAAATTAGGCGTAAGGAGCGTGCAGCAATGAAAATCATAGTGATCGCAGGAAGAATAGTCCAAATAATTTCAGTGATATGACCTTCAAGTAAATATCGATGAGTTAAATTACTAAAAAATAAGATAAATATTTTAATTGTCCAATTAAGACAGTAATAATTACTAGAATTAACAGTGCATGATCATGAAAGAAGGATAACTGTTCTATAAGGGGTGAGGCTCCATCTTGTAAAAAAAGGTTTTTCATGTTAAAATTTCCAAGAAAGTTCACTTCATATTTGAGGCTTAAGTCCAGTGGTGAACCATTCTGTCATATTAGAAATTGTTAGTGCGGGTAATTCAGAGTATGTATGTTTTCTAAGAGGTTAACTCTAAAACTCTTGATGAAAAAATGTTAAATTTACATCAATAAATATAACATTAAAATGAATTAAAAGAAATTAAAGTTAATTCAGTGAATAACGGGATTCATTGCGCAATTCCAGCTATAAATGCAACTTCTGCTCCTATTGAAAAACATAGTAAAAGTGAGCTACAAGATAGTGAGCACCGCGAAGAATAATACCAATACGCATATAGTCTTTTCACTGAAACAAAGCAGTTACGTCATATTTTGTAAATTTGAATGAAAACCTTGATGCAAAATAGCTCCTAAATTGGTACGTATAGTTTGAATCTCCCGGGTAAATTTATGTTGGTAACAGTTTTCTGTGTTGTCACATTGTCGCAAATTTTGTCAAGTAAATTGATTTATTTCCTAGGATCTAGTAGTTTTAAGTAATGTGGCAACCATGTGCGTCACTGTCATTATTTGACGCTGTGACGTAACTGCTTTGATTCAGCGTCGTCGACTAGCACTCCGTGTCCAAATATATACATATTCGGCTCACAATATGCTCATAGCGGATCTGGGTATTAAGAACGTGTATACAAGTTAGTTTCTCGAGTGCCCATTGCTCACCGATGAACAAAAACGAGTGGACGTTTCCCGTAAGCAGGGTTGCCAGGTAGCGTCACCAGGAGGAATGAGAAAAAACGCCAAAATTGCAAATAATATTAGTTCCATCTACATATTTATCACCAATTCGATTGCGCACGGGAAATCAGAAATTTGAAATTATTTGGGAAGATTCAGGCACAAATATTTCACAGTAAGATAAAAGCTTGTAAAACAATAACAGGAAGTCACGAGTGAGTGGCGAAAACCTCTATATTTGTAGCACCTGTAGGTCAGACGGATATTAAAGCTTAGGGACATTTCACTGTCTGAAGGACAGCGTTGATTAAGGTGTGTTGTACCTAATATCCAGTGGTCCAAACCTTTCTATCTTGATTTAAACCACTTTTGACAGATCTGTTGTATCATCAAACCGATAATGACAACACTTATAAAGATGTGGAAGACTCTAAAAACACTGATCAATTCGAAGCCGCATGATTGTGTAAATCAAGTTCAATTCGAAAACGGTACCGAAACAAATTCTTTGGTGATTGCAAACAAACTAAATGAATATTTTGTGGAAAGTATTGTTGATATTGTGGGTACTGCCAATGGTGCACCTGACTATACGAAAATCAGTTTCCAGGGAAATGTTGCATACACTTTCAAAATTTCACGCGTATCATTGAATTATCCAAGAAAAAAAGTAAACAGTTTAAAATCAAATAACAACTGTACCGAAATCACTACTAAAAACGTGCTGAAAAACTGTTTCGAAATTTTGGGATATCCTGTATTAAATGGATCAATTGTTCGCTGAGAAGCAGTTCTTTTCCTGAAAATTTTAAATGCTCTACAATAACACCAGTTACCGAAATAAAAAATTCTAAAGGATGCAGCGATATGAGACCAGTAAATATGTTACCAGACATTGAAAAATTATTAGAGTCCATAGTGTATGACCAATTAATGCAGTTTATAGAAGAAAACAAAATTTTAGTGGAGGCGCAAGCAGGCTTTCGTAAAAAATATTCCAGTTGGTAACAGAATTGGAAAAAAGCCATAGACTCAGAAGAAGTTGTCATAGCAGTATTTTTTGGATTTGAAGAGGGCATTTGAAACGATTGATAGAGATATTTTGTTAGGTAAATTGAAGGCATATGGTATAACAGGAAGTGTTTTAGATTGGTTTAGAAATTATTTGTCTAAAAGGATGCAAGTTACAAAAGTTAATAACACTATTTCATCAAAAATTCAAAATACGTTGGGTGTTCCACAGGGCAGTATCCTGGGACCACTTCTTTTATTTTATACATAAATGATTTACCTGCCATAGTCGAAAAATGCAAATTCAGATTTTCGCCGATGACACTATGATTCATATAAATACTAAAAATATTCAGACTGGTATCTCTCATATAAATGAAGACTTGAAACTTGTCTCAAAATGGTTAGCATCTAACAGACTAAAATTAAATGCAAGTAAAACGAAAGCCTTGTTAATCGGAAAAAACAATGTACAAATGTTCAACTGAATATTGATGGTGAAGATATTGAATTCGTAGAAAATGTTAAATACCTGGGGGTTTTTGTTGATTCTCGATTAATTTTTGATATTCATTATGAAAAATTTATAAATAAGATTAGTAGTGAAGTGGGATATTTATCGAGAGTTTCTGGATGTCTGAGTTCATATAGCAGAAAAATTATCTATAATACCATCATTCTTCGAAATGTCTTGTACTGTTCGACTATTCTATATTTAGCAAATAATTCCATTTTTGAAGACTGCAAATTTTACAAAATAAGTGCATGAGAATAATACTAAATAAAGATAAATATACTCCAATTAGGCAAATGCTTAGCAAATTAAAATGGCTCAATGTAAAAATTTCTATCAAATATCTTGTAATGATATTTATTTATAAAGTAAAAAAATAATATATTTCCATCAAGTCTAACTAATTTAACATCATCAAATGTCGACCATCATTTACATAATACCAGAAATAAAGATGACTTCCATTTAATTAATAAAAATAAAATTAATAATAAATTATACTCAGAGATAAAAGACCAGAAAACTTTAAAGTAAAATTGAGAAATCACTTGTTAAATCTACAGTTATAGGTTGCCCAGCATTTACATCATACACCATATGGCTTGAATTTATTAGTTCTAAGTTGTTTACAATTATTCTGTTTATGTAGCCAAATGTGCTAACTAAAACTTTCTACTACTACTCTACTGTACGTATGTCAATACGTACAGTGACTTGTTTATGAAAATTCACTATCATGATTTCAACCACCTTTTGCACATTGCTAGATCTATTCCTGATAATATATTTGGTACCATTTAACCTGGCAATGTATAACAACTGTGGGATATGATACATCAGAATTAGCAAAGCATAAGCACTCGCAACAATTATTAAATCTGAAGACGTAGCAAAACTTCTTTCTGATTAAAATAAAATATTGACAATATTTTCAACTATGGGAAATTTCTTAATTGCATTGTATGATGGCTGGGGAGATGATGCAGCATAATCACTAGTTGCACGTAATATTCGGAAACGCTGGAACTGCAAAAGAAGTGAGCCTTAACTAAATCGTCAGTGTATGCAAAAAATATTCCTGAAAGTCACAAAAAAATTTGCCGATCTCTAAGTCGAAGAAACCGTCGCCAGCTTGGCAACCCTGCCGGTTTTTGACAAGCGTCCCTGCGTTTGAGTAAGTTCTCCCCACCCTTACCTCGGAGCTCCAATGAAACTGCAGGTAGGTTCTAGTATTGCGATGCAAGAAACTCAAATGCACCCTGTACATTCTTCGGAAAACGACAGATCTAAACTGAATCCAAGTTCAAGATGAGATGTAAATAATAACAGTTAGCGCGTGATCTCTCGGTAACAGGTGGGGACAACGCCTCTTATTGGTCAATTCGATATTAAATTTCAAGCGGTCGCCTGGCGGAATAATGCGCGGGGCAGGGACAGGGCACTAGGGCAGGCAGAGTTGCACTCAGGCCACCGTCCGTCGCGTGTATCACTGCGTGCTCGTATTTACCTTGCTTGGTTGTTGATGTTGTTGTTGTTAACTGTATTTGAGTAATTTGTTGAGTTTCTGTTTCTGTTAAATACTGTCATCTTTGTTTTACAACACGTTGGTGGTAGTCCATCATTCGGAGGTAGCCCTGAATGCGGCCCTGTACGCCGTCCTTGCTTTTGGCAATCACGCATCCATTCTATCTTGGGTGTAAATACATGTACACTATAGTAAGTATAATAAGGTCTTCTTTACCTGTATCGCAGTTCCAAGGAAGCCAGCCATAGCTCTCGTAACATTGACCGCAGCCGTGAGCAAAATTGCTCCGTATCAGTCTTCCAGGTCCATCTTCGTCAACCCCCGGTACCGGGTTGAAACCCAATGGAGCTACTGTATGTCCACGCACCTGCGACCTTGGTGTTGAAACAGCGTTGGAAAATTCCTCATCGTCTTCGTCCTCTTCAGCGATTGGTTCTGGCGTTGTAGTTGTTGTCTTCTTACGGGCTTTTGGACGACGCGTCGTGGACGGTTTATGAGATGTGGCACCTGAAGGTGTGACATATTATTAAGTAAACAACAACGTTGTATTGCTCAGATAAATTGTTCATAGTCCTCCGTGTTTTTCTGGTCAGGTATGTTGAAATTATTCTCTATTGACGTTTAGGCTATCACGATGACCCTTTTCCAAGCACGGAGCAGTGAGGGGCTGGATGTTCATTTGGGAATGAGATACCAACCCCCTTTGGTGGTTTTACGCGGTGCCATCTTTTTGAGGTTGTACATTTTCCCACTTACACCTGCAGTTACGGATAAATTCTATGCTGTATTTAATAAAATTTCCACGCCCATTTTACGACCCCCCCCCCATTCATCATGTGTTGTCAAACATGCCATTACTACGAGCCCTTCCCACTTCAATTGGCCCAACTATTGAAATCTTAGTTTTTTTATTATCAAACACAAATAATAAAAATGTGGCAGGGTGTTATAGGTTTCAAATATCAACAATGAAAATTTTGATAATATATAGTAGAAAACACCAACTTTATTACTCCCTAATCAAATTTGCGGCATAAAAATAACACATGTTGCAATTACAGCATATCAACCCATTTTAATTTCAATGCAGAATAAGTCTATAACGCATAGGTGGCTGTGAAAATAAAAGCCATGACAATTGTTTTTATTAATCACAGCTGTCAGAATACGTTTAAAATAGTTTTGAGTAGTTAAAGTTTTCAAAATGTGTAGAGGAAAGGTTATCATTGAGAAACTTCGGTTACTGATAATTAAATTTTTTAATTCTGGGAAATCAAACTCAGAAATTGCAACTTTGTTAGACTTATCGTGGAACAGTGTGAGAAATATTGTTAGAAGATATAACGTAACTGGTTCAGTTAATATTAAGCCACGATATGTGAAAAAAAGTAATATCACAAATGCGACCGAAGAGCACTAAGAGAATAATCGTCAAAAACAGGCGTGCCAATTATTTACAATTAAGTGCTCTGTGGAGTGACGCTGCTGGAAGGAGAATTTCGAGGTCCACAACTCATAGAGAGGCGCACAAACTGGGATTTAGCACTTACAAGGTACGATTTCTTATAAAAAAGAAAAAATTGCCTTAGATGGGCTAAAGAACATACGACAATGGACACCTCAACAATGGTGTGCAATACAATGGAGTGATGAGGCCCGATTCGAAGTTTGTGTTGGTGGACAGTCGCAGTTGAGTTTATTCGCAAAAAAATGAAGCATTCCATGTTGACTGTCTGAAGAGAAAAATAAATTTCCAGCATCCATTATGGTCTGGGGCAGTATGTCATCAAAAGGAGTAGGAAAACTTCATTTTATTGATGGAAATGTGGATACAAACAATATTTGGCATTTTAGAAGAATCGCTTTTACCAGTGACGGAAGAATATTGACACTCCGGCCAAGATTTTATGTTGCAGCAAGATGGTGCAGCGTGCCATAACCTCAAAAAGGCTATAAAATGGATGAAGAAAATAATGTACCACTTTTGAAATGGTTTTCTAGCAGTCCAGATCTGTCACCTATTGAAACTTTGTGGCACGAGATGAAAAAGGATCTACGACAACATCCTGCTCGTACAATCACCGAACTGAGACAAAAGCTTCAAGAAATATGGGAATGTTTTACACCAAATTTTTGCCAAAACTTGGTTAACACTATGCCCCAAAGAATTTCAGCCGTAATAAAAAATAAAGGTGATGTTACCCAATGGCAATTTTTCAATTGTTGCTTTGTTAACTTCGCACATTTAATCGCACATTGTTTATTTGTTCAGATGTTCTACTAGTTATAGGTCTAAGTGATTTCAAATATGTATTTTTTACGACTAGAGTGTATCTAAAATATTTTTGAGAAAATAATTTTTTTTAGAAGTAAGTAGTTTCGTCATGTTTAGTTTATAAAGGCTATTTTGGTACAAATCTTGAACTGAAGTGGGAAGGGGCTCGTAGAAATTTAGTCTTGGGACAAGACGACAATTATGTTAAACGACTTGTAAGTACATATACCATAAGCCCAAAAATAAATAAAATATGGAAGCAGCAAGGCAAACAAGTTCCTATACTTATTTTATATAAGTTAGTTTGTTCGGCAGATAGCCGCAGACGCTTTTGATGTTAGTATGTCAATACACTTCCAACCCTGATGACTCATGTAATAGACATATTTGTACAATTGCTTTTAAAACTTAGGACTATGTAAAAAGTTTTTGACAATCGTCCCTGCGTCTACTGACTAAGGATTACGGCCGGCGTGCCGGTGTTCGTATGTATCCTGTATCACTGGCGCTCGGTCGGCGCTCTGCCGCCTGTGATCCAGCATGCTTTCAGATATTGAGGAGAGGCGACGCGACGTTGCCAGATGAACGGTGCATGGACAGAATGTTACGGAACTATTAAACGTACGTTCAATTTCTCTGTGATACATGTTCGAATATAACTTTTTTTTACAGGGTGCTTTCATCTGTACAATCAACTACAGCTAATCCCAGATAGCTATTTCGTGCTTTTTTAGCAATTCATCAGCATGGTCTAGCCTTGGCCTCTGTCAACGAGCAAAATCATAGCAACTATCATCTAACATAATCCTTTATGAACTGATAACGGCGTTGCATGAAAGTGAAGAGTCAACCTATGGGGTTGTCCAAAACGGATGCAGGAAAGTAAACGCATATTAAAACAAGAAAGATTGATATTCAAATCAAGTTGGGTACTTTATTTTGAAGGTTGATTTATACCATTTATGTATGAAATATAATATCGCTCAAATGTTCACCACGACTGGATTTACAGACGTCCACGCGATGGTCGAAATTTTCAATGACATTTTGCAACATGGTCGGTTCTATGGCATCTATCTCGGCAATGATGTTGTTTTTGAGTTCTTGGAGGGTGGCTGGTTTGTTGACGTAGACTTTGCTTTTCAAATATCCCATAAAAAAAAGTCAAGGGAGTCAAATCGCACGATCTTGGTGGCCATGGCACATTTCCTCTGCGCGAAATCACGCGATCACCGAAGAAGGACTGCAATCGATGGATATTGACGTTGGTTGTGTGGCATGTTACACCGTCTTGTTGGAAATAAACATCGTCCATATCCATTCCTTCAAGTTGCGGCAAAAAATAGTCCTCTATCATCACGTGATATCGCTCAGAATTGACGGTAACGGCGTCCCCGGCCGCATTTTCGAAAAAGTAAGGTCCGATGATGCCTTTTGACCACAATGCACACCACACAGTCACTTTTTGAGGATGCATCGGCTGCTCTTGATACTCACGGGGATTTTCGTTCGCCCAGATGCGGCAGTTTTGCTTGTTTGCCGTCCCATTCAAGTGAAATGCGCTTCGTCGCTGAACATGATTTTGATGAAAAATTGGCATCAATTTGGCGGTGTTCAAGGAGCCAATCTGAGAACGTTCGGCGCGAAAAATGGTCGGCCCGACGCAGCTCTTGCGTCAATTGGATCTTGTAGGCGTGTATATTCAAATCCTTGTGGAGAATGCGGAGCAAACTGGTTCTCGAAATGCCCAATTCTTGGGATCGACGCGTTGTTGATTGTTTCGGATCGTCTCTCACACTCTCTTTCACAACAGCAATATTTTCCGGTGTGCGAAACGCTCCTTGGCCAGCCAGAGCCTGGCAGATTTGCCACAGAACCTGTTGCCTCGAATTTACGCACCAGACGACCGATGGTTGTTTCGTTTGGGCGGTTGTTGCGACCGAAATGTTCACGAAGCGCGCGAAACGTGTTTTTTATTTTTTGTACCATTTTTGTAGTGCTCTTGAATAACTTTAATGCGGTCTTCAATCGAATACGACTCCATAGCGATCAATGGTAACATTCAACTAACAAAATGACATGTCGGTGACAGAAAAACAAGATCGCGTCTATGTCAAATTGACGTTTACTTTCCTGCGTCCCTAATGGACAACCTTTTATTTGACTTGATGGCCAAAGCATAAATAAAGAGTAATTTCGTTATATATGGTTTCATTTGGTTAGAGAAACATGGAGTTCTATCACCATGAAAACCACAGGATAAGTTTTAGATATTATATTAGATCATACATCTTACACTTATTACTCATCAGTAGTGTTTACATAAAAAAAAACGTAAGTATAGTTTATTCACTGAAACAAAGCAGTTACGACGTATTATCTTTGACGGAATACTTTGAGACCGAACGAGATCATGGAGCTACATTATTGACTTTACAGTCCGTAAGAAGGGTATCAAATGGTAAATACCTGTAGGATTTATACTAGCTATAGTGTTTACAAAACATACGCTCCGTAATGTTGGTTGCGTTGAGGCATCGATGACATAAAGTAGATTTTTGTAAAACGTTCTAGGATCTAGAAGTTTTAATTATTGTGGCAACGATGTGCGTCACTGTCACTATTTGCCGCTTTGATTCAGTGAATAAGCTATACTTCGCAAATATTTCCAATATTCTACTTATATTGTCATTGTCAATGTTATTTTCATTGAGTGCATGCAAGATCGGGGTGACGAGAGACGGCTATTCTGTAATTTTGCATAAAATGTTAAAATGTCATGAGCTAGAGTTTCCTCTTACCATGTTCTCCATTTGTTCGAACCTCTACTCCAGGCCCGTCGGTGTTTATTAAGTTCTGCAAACTTTTCACTTGTGATAGATCTACCTTGCCTTTGGGATCCTTCTGTAGGCCTTCCAGCTGCTTTATGAGTTTTTGAATGTCATCCTGCAGATTAAAGTGGGACATTAGTTTTGTTTATACATAGTGTTTCCTAATTGAATGTTAGTACTCAAAGAGGCGATTTTAGGTACATTTCAGGCAGCAGCGGTGGCCGCAGTAGTAGACTCTTCGGTCTCCGTGCGCTGTGCGGGTCGAGTCCCGTCCCAGGAGAAATTTTTTCTCTTGGCTATGGATGTTGTGATAGTCCGTAGGTGGTAGATGGTCTCTGACTGTCGAACGCGGAGGTACCACCCGGCGGTTCTCGTAGGCGGAGCCCGAATGTGTGCATGTTGCATGCACACGTGTTCCTCGCCAGAGTCCGTGTGGCGTCCCCCCCTTTCCCATGTATCCCCCTATAGCCCCACGGTACCAATGGGCGCTTAAGCCTTAGGCCTTCGTAGTAGTTGGAGTATAAAAAAAGACACTCATATTAACGTATGTCCTTAACTTTTTAGGTACAGGTGGTGGCGTTTTCAAAAAGAAATAATTCAATTATTAATATGAGAAAATATCACTTTTTGTTTGTTTGTTGAAGATTTACTTAGCATTAATGCTACAATGTCAATTTTGCACAATGATTTGGTTAATTATTTTTCTTCAATCCATTTTCTGTAATTTTACATTCTTGTCTATTAAAATTAAAATTACGTCACTATGTATTTTGATTATAAATAAAGTGATTTTTTTAATTAATACCTTAAACATTTTTAAATTCGAAACTCTGTTTAATATCATTATTCAATTTATTAAATTCAAATACTCCCTTTTGGAATATAGATTTTACTAGTTATGCTACTATTACAATTTTGCAGATGAATATCTATACTGCCTCTAGTTGCGTAGTTATGATAATGACTATTAATTTTGCGAAGTTCTCTAAATGTGGGTGGTAATGAATGATTTTTAATTGAATATGAAAACGATAACTAAATAATATATTTAATTTTTCACATTCAGCCACTGCAGTTTCTTCTAACATAGACTTAATCCTAGCATACTTGTTTTTATTTAAAATGATTCTCATAGCTTTATTTTGTAGAATTTGTAATTTTGAAAATATGTTATCATTTGCTGTAAACAAGATGGTTGAACAATATAAAAATGGGCAAGAATTATAGTGTTATACACAATTTTTGAATACATACTAAGATTATGGGAAACTCTATAGAAGTAATTTATCTTTTTCCATATTTTTGAAATATGTATTCATAATGTTCGTGAAACAGTAGCTTACTATCCACATACTACTTCAATTTTTCATCATTAATCATGAACCTAATTGTATTATCAACTAAATGTTTCCCTATTAACATACGTGTTGTTTTATTAGAGTTTAATTAAGTTTATTGAGATTTAACCCATTAATAATTTTTTCAATGTCCACTATTTAACAGTTCTAAAGCAGAGTCCAAATGCTGATGTGTATACATAAGTGTATCGTCCGCAAATATTTGAATTTTGCAGTGTTCTAAATGTCGAGATATTTATATAAATAATAAATAGAAACGGCCCTAATTTACTCCCCTGTGGCATCCCCACTGATATATGTTGAACACTTGACATAATACTTCTGACTTGTATTTACTGAATAATTTTGTAAAATGTGTATACTGATCCTTTAAAGCCATAGTGACGCAATTTCATTAAAAATTTTTCCCTATCTATAGTCTCAAATGCCCTTTCGCAGTCTAAAATATTGTTACAATATATTCTTTCACCACTATTTGGATTGCCGTTCCTGTGGAACATTTTTTTCTAAGTCCAGCTATATTTTTTAAAAATTTTGTTTTTTCAATGAATTCTATGATTTGTTCGTATATTATCCCTTCGAACAGTTCTTGACATCGGGCAAGACATTAATCGGTCGCATATATGAATACAGCTGAGAATTTTGAACTTTTGGCACAGGAGTAATGGTGGAAAATTATAATTTGATGGGAATTCCCCATGTACTAAACAATGATTCACCAATAATAATAATTTCTCTCCAATTATATTGACACAATCATTTGGAATAATTTTTGAGAGATTCTCTATTCTTTAGATAATCCTTCATCGGAATTTGGCGTACATGTGTGAAGAGGCATTTTTTAATATGCTGCACTTCTTTTTAATTTTTACCAGTGGCGTTCGTGCGTAATACACCTGCCTATTTTGGCAGACATTGATGGTACGTCATTGATATTCTTGAAACCCCAATGATCTCTAAGCAAAAATCGATAGTTTTCGTTTAAAAATTTAAAAAGCGTTTCTTTGTATGATTATAACAATATCGTTCATATGACAATATCAACATGCAGAGAAATTTGTTTTTTCTTATTTAAGAAAAGTTAGTAGTTATATGCAAAACTTCACATGCCTGTATTTAGGATATAGCTTCAAAGGAAGTTTTTTTCTTAAAGTGGACCCAAAAAAAACATTGACTATCAAACGAAAGCGTTCACCATCACTCTGGAATTCCATCTTCAAAGGTGTTACTCCTGTTTTGATATAGCATTCTGAAAGGCAACATCTCTGTTCTAAGAAAATGGTATAAAAGTAAGCCCTTGTCAAAAACAGCTGTCATCAATTCAGATTCTTAGGCCGTATCGTCAGTCGTCCCTACAATTGTAGGGCGCGTTTATGGCCTCCTTGATTGTCATAGTTTTCTACTTCTCCGTGTCAGCGCTCTATTTTGAGGTTATGCCACAAACATCTATTTGCATCAAATTGTGCTTGCTTTTGATTTTTATCATGTTTTATCAGCCTGAAATTTCCTACAATTTAAAAAGAAAACATATCTTCACAATAGAAGAGCGCTAACGCTGACACGGGACGAGTGTAATCTAGAAATTTTTGAAGGAGAGAAAAGAGTATGACAATCAAGGAGGCCATAAAACTCGCCCTACAATTGTAGGGACGACTGACGATACGGGCCCTAGTTGGTTTGGTTTAAGCTTCATTTCGATGACTCACATATTGTCAGTACAAATAAGTACGACGGCAATGTGCTGTTGCTATGCTGACAGGTATTGACTTGTGTCTTATAAGGCATTTTAGCTAACATACCGGGTGTTTTAAATTTGACCCTCACCATTGGGATCTCGGAAACGATAAGAGATACGAATTCGCTTGAATGAGGGCAAAGTTTCGTATTTAGGTGACTAACAAAATTGCTACTAAAAAGTTTCAAAATTCAAAGTTCTTTCGGAGAGAGAGAGAAAAATCAAATTGTCTAAAAATCGTTTTAGTCTTTACTGACTTTAATTGTAGTGGGACTTAAACATCTTAGTTATTTCAAAAAACAGAATTTCCTAGGTAGGCATTGAGTCATTTGTTAGGTGTAGCAGATTTATCAAAAAATCATTTTAATTTTTTTCTGACTTTTTTGAGATGGATATCTAAATAAGCTGCATGTTGTCTTTGCCACTTTTTCTCCTCTACAAGAGGGCGTGTTAAAATTTACAATTCGAGGATTCTGCTGTTGACTTCCATCACCAATTTTGTTTTTCCAAATGAACGCTATACTGGAACTTTATATACTAAGTGACATACAAATCCGAACACCCAGTTTAAATGGTTTTATTTTAATAAAATTTTGTATAAGTACTTAATGAAGCATAATAAGTAAATGACAAACATTTCAAAATGATTGCACAGCTTTAAAGCCCTTTGACCTTTAATAATGTGTGGATGCACCCTGATGTGCTACGCATTCTCCAACGCGCCTAGGCATGCTTCTGATCAGGTGGTCAATGTCCTCCTGTGGTATCTCATTCCAGGCAACCACCAACTCCTCTCGAAGTGCTTCTAGAGTCTGAGGAGGACGTTGCAAATTGAGCAATCTCCTACCCATCATATCCCACACGTGCTCAATTGGGATAAGTCGGGAGATCTTGGTGGCCATGGTAACAATGTGACATCATTATGTTGAAAGAAGTCTATTGTGACTCTTGCAACATGTGGTCGGGGCATTATCTTGTTGGAAAGTTGGATCTGCCAGGGTGTCAAGATAGGGTAAAAAGATGGGGTTCTAGAACTTCGTGGATATAACGCTTCGCGTTCATGTTACCTCTGATGAGGATTAAAGGTGACCTGGAACCATAAGCTATAGCACCCCAAATCATAACTCTAACAGTGTGATGAACATGTCTTTCAACAAAAAACTGTGGATTCCTCCTTTCACCACGTCGCCTTCTAACCCTGGCACGACCATCGTGCATGCCTAAACAAAATCGAGACTCGTCACTAAAGACATACTGTTCCATTCCTGATCCCAGAGTGACCGTTGTCTGCACCACTCAAGGCGATTACGTCGGTGTTCTCGAGTTAAAGGGTGGACCTAGTGTAGCCGGTATGAAAACAAGCCAAAACTTCTCATTCGTAGGTAAACACTTCGCATGCCAATAGGTCTTCCGTGTTCTGCAAACCATTCATTTGCAATGGACCTGGTAGTGGAGAAACGGTCCCTTAAGGCCAATAATCTTAGGCGGCGATCTTCACGGTCTGTTGTTCTACGGCGGCGTCCAGTGCCCCTTGCTCTTTGCGTACGGCCTTCTCGAAGCCATGCCTGACAACACCTAACCACAGTGTCTACACTTCTTTGCACTCTAACTGCAATTGCCCGAAAAGAAAGTCTGGCTTCCCGAAGTCCCACTATACGGCCCCTATCAAACTCACTAAGTTGACGAAATCGTACAGGTCTCCGTACTCTAGGCATCGTAATCGATCGTAAAGGATGTCAAGAACCAAAATCCGCCAACGTTGATTCCTTACTGCGGCTGAAATATTCATTTTTAGAGCGTTAGTGAATTAAAAAAAAGCAGTATAAAAACCGGAATGTCCAACTGATAAGGCTGAAAATTTTTTCACTTGTATTTACAGTAAGATAAATACATTCACCAACTTTTATTAAAATAAAACCATTTAAACTGGGTGTTCGGATTTATGTCACTTAGTATATATTCAAGTACTACTAAGAATGAAAATATTACTTTAAATATGTACAGTTTATCGACATAAATAGATATACTATGTTCATAACTGAATGCAGAATCAAAAAATGTGTTCGATTGCGCAAAATTTCAATAGGGGGTCCATGAAAAAAACAAAGTGGTGAATGGAGATCAGAAGCAGAAACGACTAATTGAGAATTTGACTACGGCCTCTTGTAGACGAGAAAAATCGAATTCCAAATAAGACCAAATAATTTCATATCATATATTTTGGACTCAGAATTAAAAACTCTATTGGTCTATGTAAAAATCCAATATGGCGTCCCTTAGAAAAAAAACAGTGATGCTGGAGGACAAGAGATGAAACGTCATGTTGAAATTCTCGTTATATCATTTGGTAGATGATTAATGCGAGATTTATTTAGAAATCCCATTACAAATAAATCCAGCGCAAAAAATCAAAAAAATTCAGGAAAATTAGTTTTTTTCTGTCTTTCTCCGGAAGTACTTTGAATTTTAAACTTTCTAAGCAGCACTTTGCTAGTATCGTAGATACGCAACTTTTGCCTCCATTTAAGCCACTCAGTATTTCTTAAAGTTCCCGAGATCCTAACGGTGAGTATCGAATTTGAGAGACCCGGCAAATGTGATTGATACGTACCGAACCAGGTCGTTATTTTGTTCACATCTCACCTGTGATAAGGAGTTGGCGATGGTGCTTTTGGAGCAGTGGTCACGATCGGCGTGACGTGGGTAGGCGAGTTGGCCAACAGCTCCTGCTCCACTGGTAGCTTTTTTGGTTTCGTTGGTTTGGGCTTGGGCTTGCTCCTTCTTGGAGGTGGGCTGGATGGAGGAGGTGCAAAAGCGTTGAGTAGCCAGTTAAGAAGTCCTCCTCTCGGTCTTGGAGGCGGAGTGGTCCGTGTGCGAGGCTTGGGTCGCTTCGTCGTCGTATCGTCAAATACACCCTAGAAAAATTCAGCAATAAGATAATCAAAGAACTGTCTTCTTAATATGTGGCAGATTCCCGTCTCATTGGCCGCTGAGACAGGTGACAAAAGAGTCATCAGCAGAGTTATTACGTAACAAGGCTATACGATGTAAAAAAAAATCGACATGTCAACTTGCTAACTAGATAGTTCCTAGTGTGCAAATAGTTGAATTCGCGTTTTCCCGCAATGAGCGCTGTGACCGTCATCTATGGAGGAATGACTGAACGACACGACAAGCTCAATGACCATGCTGCAAGTCAGTTCCCCATCATGCTTTGTTGGTTGTAGATAACCGACATAGGTTGTAGAGTATATCTGAGAAAATGTGACAGAAAGAAAATTGTTCGGGTAGCACGATCGCATCTGGATGATTGTAAATTGCAATTGTCCTCGGCTTTTTGCGTTTTCAGATATTCTGAGAAGCATTACGGGAAATCACTACCGCGACTGCGTTGTGTGTAATTAAGCCACATCACAGAAAAATTTGGAATGACACAAAACATATTCGCAGTCCTCGCATTTAGGCGCTGACTTGTATTCTCTACTTGAAATAAATTTCTAGGAAATATAAATGACTGGAAATTAAAAAATAATGTAAAATGTAATAACGATTCCACGTTTCATACATATTTCTGTCTGTAGCCTATTTTTTCACCTTTTTCACCTATTACCAGGAATTTTCTTTTTGTTTCTCTCATTTTTGAAATTCAGCTAATTTGCATATGTAATTTCCAGCTATAGTATACAACTTACAGCTTAAGCCTCCAATAATGCTATCTCTGAAGCAGAAGTTACTTCACATCAGGGTCAAACTTTGATAGCTAAAACGTTATGATGTTTAGGCAACACGTACAGCAACAGAACGAATGCACATCAAGTAAACGATAGCTAGTTCCAAGTTGACATCTTGTAGAAAAACCTACATAATGTCACAAAAACCTATATAATCTCAAAAAACGACATAATATCACTTTTCAAGATTCGTGATACCCCTCCGGGATTGCGAGTTGCATGTTTGTGTATATTTTGGGGTTGATTTTTGTGATTGCATCACTTCCATTTTGTTAAACCATCGCCACATTACTATAGCATTTGCGTTCGAACGAAGTTGAGGGCTGAGAAAAAGAAGTTTTAACTCTTAAAATTTGAATCGTACGTTTCACAATTTGGTCTCTTCCATTTTTCTGGGTATTTAAAATTTTAGTGTTTGAAACTGAGTAGACTTTCGTGCCTTCTGCGTACCTGAAAAAAATGCTAGGGGCAAAAACTCGAAAAAAATAAAAATTGACGAAACTTCGTTTCTTAACGATTCAGAGGATCCTGGTCAATTTCAGAAAAAAAAATTGTAGCGGTTAAAATCGGGGATTGCACGTGCTGGGAGGGTATATCTCAATTTTAATGTTAGTATATTTATACGCGCTCAGCCCCGCTAATTTTAGGTACCTATTAGACATATTAGAGGGAATATGCATGGCATTAATATTAGATACAGATAGACTTTTTCAATTCCACGCCACAGCACGTCTCTATTTCAGAATACATATATTCACAATGCGATCAAATCACATAATTCTTTAGACCGCAGTTTAAAAGAAACCAATTCAATACCCAAATTCAAGAAAAAAGTGAAAGAAGTTCTACTTGATTAGCAGCGAAATCTGTTGTAACTCATAAGTGGGCTCATGTTTTCCTTATGTATTTACTTAGATTATACTTTATTCTGTCGTTATTGTATACAGGTATTAATTTTCAACATTTTTTTTGTACATCTCGTATTGTTAAGGGGATTAGATGGTAGAATAGATATATTATCTAAATCTCGGCTCCTGTAATAATATTACAAATAAAAAAGACGTTAATGATTATTATTATATTTGTGGTATTGGTATTTGAAGAGGCGTTATTGCCAGATGGACGGTACTGCCAGTAGGACACGAAAATGATGTATATGGAATGAATGAATTGTATGGGCCTGTTCGACTGACTTGATCCGCTTAATTTCTCTGTTGTACAAGTTTGTAATTTACTTTTTTCTCGAACGCTTAACGCTTAACTGGTGTCGAACTTAATCCTTTATGAACTGATGACGGCGTTGAGTGGAAAATTCAGAGTCAACCTACTCGACGCCATTTTGATAAACCTGAAGGACTGGACACACTAATGCGAATGAATTCGCCGCGATAACGAAGCGAGTATTTCGCGACATCGGCGATAACAAAACTCGTCGCTCCTATCACATTTCGGCAGTCAAAATTCGTGTCTCCTTTTAAGATTTGCGCGAAAATTTTACAAGATTTTTTTTGATATATGAAAAGATGGATTCTTCAAGCAATACTATTATTGGCTGCCTTAGAAGATGAGGAAATTGAAAGGTAAGGCAAAATTTAAAACCTACCTGTAATATGTATCTCTTGTCCGATTTCATCGCAAAACTTATCTTAAAGCGTTTGAAATCAAATATTTCTTCACAGACTATAGTAACCTTTCAGTTAAAGCCTTCTTTGATTCGCAACCAAACCGACAGAAAACGCGTCCGACTACTCGTATGTGCGTCAATGTGTGCATTACTTTATTCTACAAACTTACCGCATGTTCTATCTGTTTAGCCAGACTCTTCGGTGTGGGTGGTGCGATACCCTGCTCCTTCAATATAGATGCTAAAATGGCATCGCTGGACGTCCCATACTTTGGAGCTGGTGCTTTAGTGGTCAGTTCCACACCATCTAGATCGTACTGTTTCAGTACATCTTCTAAAGATGGCGTGTTTCTACTGGGCTTTGGCGTGGTTACGCCTAATGCTGCTAGTTGATCTTGAATAGAGTGAGGTTGTTTGGTCGTCATCTTACTCGTTGTTGGAGCGTTTGTCGATGAAGTAGTGGATTTGTTGTGGTCTGAGGTCAGCTGGGCTAGCTAATGGTGGGAAAAGTAGTTTGTATAGTTTTTTGGATGCTGTATTTCGATTCCATAATTGATTTCTAAATTAGGCCAAACATGAGGTCTCTATGAGTCTGGGTGATATCGAGACAATATCTCAGGCTGAAAATGTATTCTAATTTTGGGACGATGTTGATTCGATTTGGATATGTAGCCGTTCTAGCTTTTCGCAATTCAACAGGTAGGAATAAATGATACTAAGCTGCTTAACATCAGCCTTTTATTCATGCAATGATCTGTCATGAAAATGTGGGACATTTCTAAAAATAAACGTTTGAGAGTCTTTTTCCTTTGTCAAGAACCTCAATACTGCCTAATTCATAGAGTGACCTGTGTTGTTAATATGAGATGCCAAAGCATGGATGTGATCTGGCGTCACTTTTGTGTGAAGTTATCCTGCCTTTCAGTGACCCTCGAAGTTTGGCCTATATAAACTAAATTACAGTTATTGCAATTAATGCGATAGACAGTGTTGATTGAATCAAGCAACTAAACCTTATCCTTCATTTTGGACAACAAACTGTTGACTGTGAGCACTGATTTACAAGCAAAACGACAATTAAAGGAATTATACAGCCTGATCAATTTTGGTGTTAGTTCTTTGATGTATGGCAAGACAACATAGTTAACTCTGGAAATAGGAGCAACCACTGTAGTGCTGTTATTCTCATTGGTTGAAGAATTGATGGGTGTCTGTTTGACCGAACAGTGTTTACGTTGGATGAATGAACATGTTGTCTATTCGGCCAACATTGAAAAAACTTACCCTATTTACTAGATTGGGTTTGACAAGGCTGAAGCAGCTCCCCTGTTGTTACCACCGAAGTTCTGAAAATTAGAATAGGTGAAATGAAATCAAGAAATGTTGAAACCTCTCTTCAGAGAAGCTTTTATTAATATTATTTAATAAAGAATTAATTATACTCCATATCTCTGTCATAGTCATAAAAGTTAGTATTTTCTTAACATCAGATTTATTAGGCATCATCACTTCATAGTTTTTCAATTGTAAACAATATCTGAGGTACTTGATCTTTGAACTTTTCGCCATGCCCATTCAAAGACGAGTAAATTGAATGCGTAGCCGCTCCTTCACCTAAGGCGGCTTTATATTTTTAAGAAATCTTCATCTACACTGGAGAATTGTCAGTTATCTCAGGGATGATTTCAGCTTTTTCTTTTGCCTAGGATAGTAGTTCGTAAACGCCAAAACTTTCTTATTTGACTATTTCTCAAAAACTCTAATATGGAAACCAATAATAATCCGTGTATGCGTTCTTTGAGGAAACAGTGAATCAAGGAAGCTTTGAAGTTAAAGATTGTTGCAAGAAGACCTCTGATCGAAAAAGCGACCGTTTTCGATAAGATATTTCACATTTGCTCTGTAAGTCCCAAGTGGTAAGACAAGGAAAGGCAACGAGTCTTCAAAGTTATTCCGTGTTAACCCAAAAACCAAATGAAGTCTCTGGATTTTGCTCTTCAATGGGGTCGCTTCTGCAGCAGATTCCGTACTCCCAAGTGCCCACGGGCCCCTAGATGGCCCCGATAGTAAGGGGGCCTCTAGTAAACGATCGGTAATGTGTCCAACTCTTGTATGGCATGACAAATCGAGAATTATTCTGATCAATATCTGAAGTTCCCAACCCCCATAGTTCTTAACAGAACCTTTTGTAATTGATTGGAGTTGGGGGTCTAAAGAAACAGTTATAAAGTTGTAAAATAATATCCCCACCACCAATAATACTGCTGAAGCCAGAATACTATACTTGCAAACTCGGTATGTAAAAAATTTTTCAGTTTCTCAAAAAAACCCGCTACAAAACAGCTACAAGGCAGCTAGAATGCCGATGGTAGTTTTCCTCCATGCCTGCCTTCGCTGAAGAGGTTGAAATCCCATAAAAATAGCGAGAGTAGCACCCAAATCAAAATAGGCAACTAAACGTAAGGTAGGTACATAAACTGGTGATTGGGGCCTAATATCTCGAAATCTGCAATTCAAACGAAGGACCGATACACCATAACCTCCAAGAGTACTGCAGTATCCGAAAGAGTTCAACACAATACTGAGTCGCTGAGAAAGAAAAGATGTAATGCGTGAAATCATACTTCCAGGATTAGGTAGTTTCAAGCTCAATAGATCAATAAATTATGAAATTCGCCAAAAGAAAATCTCTAGAGCCTAGAGAAATTCAAATTACTGATGAGTGATCAAAACAGTAAAAACAGAGTTACGTGTTTTGGCAAGTTATACCAGAATATGAAAGCACAAAAGAGATTGTAAGAATTTTCACATAAAACAGGGAAAACATGCACAACTAGTCCAACACATGTTTTTAAAATGTCATGTGTTGATTCTTGCGGGGTCCTATGTAAAAATGGTAATTTTAAAAAAGGATTTTCCAAGAAGATTGGAAATCAAAAAGCAAAGTAATGCAGTAAACAAAAGAACAGACAAGCAGACTTAAGCATTATCTATAACATCATTGATTTCGTGAAGACAGAATAACCACCAGCAGGCAAAATATCAAAGATATCAAGAAAATGGACAGATTTTTACTATCTAGAAACTATTTCTTTCCTTCAACGTGTGTCTAGCTGTCCCTTGTAATATCTTTCGTTTTTTATATTGATCAGTTGCAGTCTAAATGATCTCTAAGATATGCATAGCGTTGGATGATTTTTTGACCACCACAGTTTCGAAGTAAAATGGTGAATTCAATAGTTGATAGTTTTAAAATCTCCAAATTTCTTCCAAATCAATCAACGTTTAATTAAAAAAACCTTTCAAAATGATTTGCCATTATAATAAATATAAAATAATTCCGTACTAATTGAACCTCATCACTCCAGTTTTTTATTCGTCGACTATGTGTTCCTTCAATGTTGTTTAAAAACAGTTTCAGCTACAATCTCGCCGACTTAGTAAGTAAACATTTTTCTTTCAATTGTTATTTGTTGCTATTGTCAATAATTGTTTCTAGCTCCAGACGATGAATACATAGATCTTCGAAAGCTTGTGAGTTTTAGTTATAAGAGTGTACTTTTGCAATACTTTGTCTTCTACCCAAAGAAATTAAAGGATATATATATATATATACATATACAGGGTGGCGCATCGAAAACGACACAGACGCAATTACTGGTAGCTCAGTTTTTTTTTGAAAAACGCTCAGACCCGTCGATTTTGTTTTCGAGGGGGACACAAGTTTGGCAAAAAATCACGTTAGTACGTGCAGCCCCCTAAGCGGGGACACCCACCCCCAAAGTCTTAAATGGAAGGGGGGGTGGAGTGATACCTTATTTTAAAGGTCTTCAATTCCCTTTATAATGATATAAAATTAATGTGCTTCAGTTCCGTAGTTTTGAAGATTTATTGATTTAAGCTTAAATAAAACATATATAACATAATGATAAACAAACCATGGGCGTAGTGTCAAATTTCTTCTGAAAGTAGTACAAACTAATCTGATGTACCTATTAAAGTCTACTTTAAGCTTTAAATCATAAATCTTCAAAACTACTGAACTGAGGCTCATGTATTTTACATCACTATAAAGTGAATTGAAAGACCTTTAAATAAGGTATCACTCCATTTAAGATTTAGGGTGGTGTCACCCCCGCCCAGGGGGTGGTGCTGCACGTGTCAACGTGATCTTTTGCCAAACTTGTGTCCCCCTCGAAAACAAAATCGACGGGTCTAAGCGTTTTTCCAAAAAAAACTGAGCTGCCAGTAAATGCGTCTGTTTCGTTTTAGATGCGCCCTGTATATAAAGTTAGTATTTTAAAACATTTGTTTTATAGAACCCTGAAGACGTAAATAAATATTTCCGAGAAGTCGGCAACTTTATAACAGGAAACTGTGTTTGTTTAGACCCTAATCCAATTAACTGCAAGAAAATTTAATGAAAAGGGTCATTAGAAGAATAATTTTCTAGACCCTGTTGTACTTCGAGCTATGCTGTTTCTGTATATTCTGACAAGTATAGCTTCGGTTTTGTCAGTCGGGACCATGACGGACGACTTATAGAAACAAAACTCCATGAACAATAACAAAGATGAATATATAAATACTCGTACTTACCAAAGTGGTAAGGAAAGACAATTGCTGCAACAAAGCCGCCTGTTCCTTCTCAAGCTGCATCAAAGTCTCTAAATTCCTCTTTTGCTCAGGCGTAAGCTTCTTTTTCGTGGGCGTGGCGGTTACAGCAATGGTGTTCAAGTCTGTCAATCCACACTTCGTTTTGTGGGACTGCACTGAACCACTTTTTCTGTGTTGTGGTTGTGGAAGGGGAGTAGTGGTCGTGGTTGTAGTTGTGGTGGTGGTGGTTGATGCCCTGCGTCTCTTCGCTGGTTCTGTTGTGGTTCTGGAGGTGGTTCGTCTGCGCGGAGGAGCAGCTGCCTGTAGAACCAGTTACAAAACAGGTAAAGAGACAATTCAAGGAGTATCAAGAATGTTTGATGTTCTTCAGCAGCTGCTAACTGAAAACCTAAAGACTGTGTATGCCTTGTTTGACTCAAACGGATACAAAAGGTGCAAAATTGTTGCGTTAGGTTTATCCATGGTCTAAGTAGATTCGAAAAAACATCTCATTCTTTAGCTTAGATGAGATAAATATGGACTTATCACCGGATCTGTTTGGTTCATTCGGCGTTACTAAGGAAACAACAAGATTACTTGCATGAAAAGCTATATTTGAGAACTGACATCCATTATATTAATTTGAGATTTGTAGGTTACTCTCTGGATATTCCCAAACACAAAACAAAAGCTCTTTCTCGTATCTAGCACATAACTTACAAAACATACGAGTCCCTTCCCACTTCAGTTGGCACAACTATTGAAATCTTAGTTTTTTCTTCTCAAACACAAATAATAAAAATGTAGCAGGGTGTTATAGGTTTAAAATATTAACAGTGAATACTTTGATAATATATAGTAGAAAACACTAATTTTATCACTCAATAATCAAATTTGCAGC